TCGCCAAGCGCTAAGAGCTTAGCCCGCAGCTAAGACAATGCTAGCTCTGTATTTACCCGAGTCCCCCACAGAGCGGGATATGGCACAAGGCAGGTTTAACGGGGTTTTTTTTTCTGGGCCCGTTGTCCCGGACAAAAATTCCCCGTAGACCCCGTAATAACCGGGTCGGGTTTGTCTACCTCCTCAGACGAGACTCTGTCCTTTGGCATAGCCTCGTCTTGGTTCCTCTCTGCCCGAAGACAGAAAATTCGACAAGCAATAAGAGCTTAGCGCGCGGCTAGGACCTAATGCTAACCCTCCTCAACTCCTCTTAACTCCGCTTATTTACATAAACGGACGATTCCATTCATTTATGTCCTATATGACAGAGTGAGCCTCCAAAACGCTAGATAACCAGTGACTGGAAGCTGATCTCTACTCTGATCTAGCTCTAACATCTCAGTGGTGGGGACTGGCTGGTTACATACAATGCCTCGAAAAACAAACTAGTAACATTCCATCATTGCCAATCGGACCCTGAACTATCGCCAATCACGATAAACAGATATTCTTTCAGATAGGCCCTTCAGATTGAGTTCCTATTGAGCCTTAAACTCAACCCAGACCTCAAATGAAACTCGTACAAACACTCGCTAAGGATACTGGAAAAATGATCGGTTCCTTGTACCAGGCTTAAAATGGACTACTGGCTGTCATATTTAGACAGGAGCTGCCCAGTCTCCACTTTCCAGTCTTGATGGAGACTAAAAGCGTCTCTGTGTCTTTGTGGGTAACAAATTATTTTCCACCTTGCAACCCCTTTCCTCATAGCCGAAATGTCTCAAGCCTCTCCCTGCTCTATCGCTACTTCCATGAAAAAAGTGTTCAGATGGACTACATTCCTTAATTCCATCAGTTCTAACCTTCACGGATAGCACTCGCCATGCAAACGATCCTCATTCCTTTCGTATTCCAATCGTGAGAAGTAAGTTCCACTCGAGTAGATTCTTCCTGCAAACCACTGCTTTGTGGAAGCGACTCCCAATAGGATGTTTTCCCGATCACAACAATCTTAACCTGTTCGAGTCTAGTGTTAACCGTTATCTTCTTCACATACCTGCATAAACTGTGCTTCTTATTCTGTAACCCTCTACGTCGAGTGGCTCCCTGACCTTTATGCAGGGTGAACATCACTGTAAAGAAAAAGTGCAATTTTGAAATTCATCCCGTTGCTGTTTGTAATGAGTGTTTATTATTATTATTATTATTATTATTATTATTATTATTGAAGAAATGTTTTTATTCACAAAATGTGTGAAGAATCGAAAAATGTAAACCTTAATGTCATTTTTGAATGTGAACATTTTTTTTTTTTAATGATTTTATTTCATTTTTTCATTTCTGTAACGGTTACATTATTCTTGTACGGAAGTTCAAAAACGAAATAATTATGTAACGAACAGATACAGAAGTTAAAAGGGGAGGAAGAGAAAGAAGAGTCGTAAGACGAGCCAATATAATAAATCGTTTTATTTTATTAATTATATATATATATATATATATATATATATATATATATATATATATATATATATATAGGTTTTTTTTTCTCTTCTTCAAAAAAACACCCTGTCTTGGCTGCATGTAGGAAGATCAGTACAACCAAGCATACTCGATCTATAACATCGAATAGCCCGAGTGAAGTCTTGATTAGTTGACGTTTTCTAGGGGAACTTAATATAAAGCACGTCATAAAGCTAGTAGCAAATTTTATTCTGGGTGCGGGCTGAATACTGATCATATTCGGTTGGGTCGCCCATCGAAGAAGTCTGTTGTTTATTTAGACCCGAAACTTCTAGTGACATGGGAGCAACAACACTGACGATGAACCTATATTCGGCACTTAAAGGTCTATTTTTAATAATAACTGTTAGATAAATGCAGTCCCAGAATTATTTCGTTTTTGAACTTCCGTACAAGAGTAATCTTACCGTTGTGAAAATGAAAAAAAAATACTATAAAAAGGAAGTCTAAAATTGATAAAGACATTGCATTGATACAATGCAGTAAGTTTTTATCAATTTCACACCCCTTTTTTTTTGTAGTACTTATCAGAATAACTTTAAAAACTTCACAGGATGCAATTAAAATTTTATAACATCAAACAGGTAAGAAATTAATCAAAAAATGAAAACATCAAATTAAACTTAAAAAATATCATTCAACGAGTTTTTAATTATTTTTATCATACTCTAATGCAAATGAAATAAATTTATTTATTTTAAGTTTTATAAAAATGCATAAAATAAAGCATTATATTCTGAAACCATTCTTTAAAATAAAGTTAAAGATAATTTATTTTTTAAATATAAGCAACGCCACTTTCTTAATGTCCTAGGTATTTTCATTTTTTTTTTTTTACAAATTTTTCGCTCGACTTTTAAAATCAAGGGTGACAGTAGAAATCTACCATTGTTGACCTATGACCATGATAGCAGTACACGGCCTAAGTAAGCGTCATTTTTAACAATATCCAGTTAATTAATCCTTAACTTTGCTAATTTACTTTACTAAACAAATCTCTATAACAAATATTGGATTTTTAACGGATTTTTAAATTTGTTTTCATTTTCTGTCTGTAATGGAAGCTCGATGAGTGATCGTGCCAATGTTTTAAAAATAGTCTAAAAACTTTATTTACATACGTTAATTTATTTTTCTTTTTTTTCACGGAACAGCTTTAAGCTATTGTACTTCAATTAAAACGAAAATTGAGCTTCAAAAAACATTTAAATTATTTAAGATGGGTGTCTTTATTTCTTTAGTGAAGATTTTTGATATTTTAGAATTAATTGAATATTTTGATATATTCGTCAGTCAATTTACAAAATTATAAAACTTTCTTAGTTTTAATTAATTGTCATGATATCTACAAATAAACTTGAAATTTTAATTTGTCCTTTGAAATTAGTTTGAGTTTTCTTAAGTTATCTCCCTTGAAAAAACAAGTCAATATGAAGTTGCCTCCCCTGAAGTTTACCTAGCAGCAAAAATAAGTTTATTACGTACGTTCTCGCAGTAAGTCAGTGGCGTAGCTGGGGGGGGGAGGTGGGCTTACCGCCCTGGGTGCCAGCACAGGAGGGGTGTCACAATGTCACCCCCAACAAAATTTTTCAACCAGGCTCAGGTGCCAAAAATAGTCTGAAAACAGTGGTGGAGACACAGGGTTTCACAGGCGGGCATATGACCCCCCAAAAATAATTTATGACCCCCCCAGTTTTGTCCCCCGTCAGAAATTTTCTAATAAATTGTCGGGAAATTTGTGAGTAGGAAAAATAGCAATGTTTTCAGCTTTCATGTGTTTCAGTTGCTACAATCTTGGTTACTAACAAGAGACATTGTTGTAACATTTTATCGGATGATATGGTGTTTTAACTCTGCATCATTAATAACAACAAAGCGAAATACGAAGCCAAAAGTGCAACAATTTCAGTCTTGCCTGTGTATCATTTCGCTGAGATACAATTTTCCATTGAGTGAGCGATATACTTTTGAATATATCTACTAGTGTTGGGACAATTAATCGGAATCGGATTCGAGAATCGGAAAAATCGGAACTTTTGGGGGTATCGGAATCGGAAAAATTTGTGCCTATTTTTCGATTCCAAAAACGATTCTTTTAAATTTTTAACTTAATTTTCCATTATTGGTACTAATGATAAATATTTATTGTTTTTAAATTATCACTAAAACTAAAATCATAATAACATAAAAATACGATGTAAATTTATTTTACTTGTATAAAGAAAAACAAAAAAATAAACTTTGCATAAATTCTCTAGGTAACCTTTAAAAGAATGCAGTTGATTTACAATGTTCCGAAAAATGCTTAAAAATTAAATAGAACATTTTTGTCAAGAAAAATACTTTCAAACATCATTGATGGTACCCAGAAAATGATGCAACTTGGACACCGGAAAATTAGCAACAGAAAATTATGTCAACCATGAGCCAGTCGAGACTGTCGGATCTGGCTGTGCTGTCCATTGAAAACGAGCTTACAAGACAAACAGATTTTGACGATGTCATTGACCAGTTTGCCACAATGAAAACAAGAAAACATTCATTCTAAGACCATAGTATCGAATGTCATTCTTTTGTGTATTGCCGTGTTTTGTATTTAGTTGTTCTGAAAGTGAACAGTTGCATTTTAAAAATCTTTTGATTTGAACTGATTATTTTGTGGTATTGGATTTTGTCTTGGATCATACATGTAAACAGTAACATACCGGTTAGTAGAGTAAAGTAGAGGTAGAGCATGTATGAAAATTTAGCTACAGTTAACCATTCAGCATAGGGTGAATCGGGGTCATTGGGGTGACATTTGAGCGGACCGCCCCGGGTGACGTTTACTCTAGCTACGCCTCTGCAGTAAGTTTACTTTTATTTTAATCATTTTACCCCAAGACAGGCGGGAATGCCACTAGTGTCTCGGGGGTTATTGGAAATGAAAACAAAAAAAGAAGACTGAGAATAGGAAGGATTGAGGAAAGGACAGAAGATGAACGAGGTTCAAGAAGACAGATGATGTCGATTGATGTTGCATTTAAATTTTTGAAGATTGTAGTTATCAGGGAAGCAAGGAAACGGAATGTGGAACAGAAGTGGATTGTGTTTGTTAAAATTTTTAAACAGAATTGTCAAGAAGGAAGAAAGGTAAACAAAAAAAGGGAAAGACAACAAAAAAATAAAGGAAAAAGAAAAAGAGAAAACAAGAAAGATAAAGAAAGGAGGAAAAGAAAAACGAAAAGACGACAAGAAAAGAGAGAAAAAAATACAAAAAAGATAGAAACAAAGAGTAAAAAGGAAAAGGAAATGAAGAAAAGAAAAAATAGTGTGTGTGTGTGTGTGTGTGTGTGTGTGTGTGTGTGTGTGTGTGTGTGTGTGTGTGTGTGTGTGTGTGTGTGTGTGTAAGGAAGAAAGGAAGAAAACAAAATGAAGAAGAAAAAAGACTAGGAAAATCACGATGAATATATCAAAGGAGAGAGGGGGAGAGAGAGGGTTTTATAAAGAAAGAAAGAAAGAAAGAAAGAAAGAAAGAAAGAAAGAAGAAATACAAGAATAAAAAGTAGAAGAAAAGGAAATGAAAATCGAGTGAAGAGAGCCAGAAAAAAAAAAGAGGGTGAAAACTGAGAGCTGGAATTGATAGAAGGGGAGAAAGAGAAAAAAGGGAATGGAAAGAAGGAGAAAGAGAAAAGGGGAATAGATGAAGGCTGAAATGGGTGGAAGGAGAAGGAGAAGGCTGGAGTGGATAGGAGGAGAAGGAGAAGGCTGGAGTGGATAGGAGGAGAAGGAGAAGGCTGGAGTGGATAGGAGGAGAAGGAGAAGGCTGGAGTGGATAGGAGGAGAAGGAAAAAACGGAAATGGCTGGATGGAGAAAGAGACAGCTGGAATGAATTGAAGGAGAACGAGAAAACTGGAATGGAGGTAAAGAGAAAAAGAACGATCGAATAAATGGAAGGAAAAATGAAAATCTGGAATAAATCAAAGAAGAAAGAAAAAGCTAAAATTAACGGAATGAGAAAGACAGAACTGGAATGGGTGAAAAAAGAAAAGAAAAGAATCTGCTTAGTTCGAAGAAAATTAATTGTTTTTTTTAAAGAAAAGAGAAATAAAAGAAAAGGATCATGAAAAATGAATTTGAAAAGGAGTTCATTTACGAATGAGTTTCACTAATAGAAACTGAATGAAACTATCGGAGAAAGAGAGAAAATGAATGAATATATTATGAATAAAAAAACAATGGATAGAATACTGGTTTAAATTTCCTTTCTTAATCACGAATCAGCGGGACTGGTGGTGAGTGAACGCGGAAATTCTTTGTTCATTTTCAGGTTATATAAAAAAAAAAATACAGTTGCGGTGGCATTTGTCACGGAGCGAACTTTAAGTCGTTTTTGCAGTCAACTACTCGCGCAGCAGTGAATTTAAGCCTCACTAAGCGCGACACATTTTCTGAATCTTGGTGCCAAGAGAAACTACACTTTACAATAACTAGCTAGCTAGCTAGCTAGATAGATAGATAGATAATGAACAGACTGAAATAGATAGATAGATAGAGATAGATAGATAGATAGATAGATAGATAGATAGATAGATAGATAGATAGATAATGAACAGACTGAAATAGATAGATAGATAGATAGATAATGAACAGACTGAAATAGATAGATAGATAGATAATGAACAGACTGAAATAGATAGATAGATAGATAATGAACAGACTGAAATAGATAGATAGATAGATAATGAACAGACTGAAATAGATAGATAGATAGATAGATAGATAATGAACAGACTGAAATAGATAGATAGATAGATAGATAGATAATGAACAGACTGAAATAGATAGATAGATAGATAGATAGATAATGAACAGACTGAAATAGATAGATAGATAGATAGATAGATAATGAACAGACTGAAATAGATAGATAGATAGATAGATAATGAACAGACTGAAATAGATAGATAGATAGATAGATAGATAATGAACAGACTGAAATAGATAGATAGATAGATAGATAATGAACAGACTGAAATAGATAGATAGATAGATAGATAATGAACAGACTGAAATAGATAGATAGATAGATAGATAGATAATGAACAGACTGAAATAGATAGATAGATAGATAGATAATGAACAGACTGAAATAGATAGATAGATAGATAGATAGATAGATAGATAGATAGATAGATAATCGGGACTATACTTAACCGACATAGAGGTCATACCAAATTACATTACAAATTAGGACTATACTCCTCCGACGTCGTATTAGATTAGGACCGCATTCATCCGATAATGACATCGTAACAGATTAGGAATGTACCAATCCAGTTAATCTATCGTTAGAAATTAGGACTGGATTCGTTCGATAATGACACCCTAGCAAATTAGGAATAGACTCGTCCACTAATGACACCCTAGCAAATTAAGACTGGACTCGTCTTAATCAAAACGTCGTAGCAAATTTGGAATGTACTCACCCGGCAAAGACGTCATCGCAAAAGAAACTCACTCGGAAATTGAGGTTGTATCTCATTCGATAAACACGCTATCGAAAAAAAAAAGCTGTTACAAAATGTATCGACTGCTCATCTGTGATAATTCTATCACATCCCTTTGTTCGGTAAATTTGTAGACTTGTAAAATCAGTAATCGCCTCATGATATGCGGGTAGCGTAACGGATATCGGATAGACGAATCAGCGAGCAGATTTCAAATACCCGCCTTGTCGTGATTTATTGCGTATGAAAACATACAACAATTGTGGCCCAAGGCCTAAAACGGGTAACAGGTTGAGTCTGGTCGACACTATTTTTTTACCTAAGCTAATCAGATTCACGACTCAATCATTCATTATAATTTGTACATACACCACAAGAACTCGTCCATCATCATTCAATCCTACATATACCACAATACCGCACACACACACGGGGAACCTACAAAAAACACCCCATGGCATAAAAATTGTTGAATATAAAATTATATATAATAATTTATTGATAATAAACAATGAGTCGGGAGGGGATGAACCCCAAAACAAATTAAAATATAACAAAAACACACAAAGATAACTGCTATTAGTTGGACCCGTCCAACCTTCAAAGAAATAAGGGAGGCCGCTGTGTTCTGTCTTCAGACAAAATCAAGAGGCTCTCTCGCTAAGGAAGAAGGAAGAATAAAATGAATATGACCATTGGAGAAACTGGCCCAGTCGAGATTTTTAAAAAAAGGGGACAAAAAAATACCTGCCTTGTCAGTTGCGTTTACTTTCGCATTTATGCCCTTGGGGGGGGGAGGATGAATCCGTCCTTTCGGGGTCCCTTCGGGTGCCCGTCGAGGTTGAATAAAATCGGTTTTTGTGGCCTTGAAAAAAAAAAACTCTATATTCCAAACCAGGCGACGAGAAACCCCTACACTATATTTCCCAAGAATGCATGGCAATTACAAATTGGGAGAAACGGACACCATCAGTGGTACGCTGTTATCAATGACGTCAGCAGTTTTCGAACTTGACTTTCGTAAATAAAAAGAAAGTACAAAAAGTCAGGGATCAATTTGACACTGTATTTATATTATGAACAGGATCCCCACATCTAAATTGATAAATAACCAATATATTTTTTTAATTCAGACAAATATCGTCGGTAAAGAAAAGTCTAATGAATGCTAATCTTTCTTTTATCATTTCACCCCCAAGCAAGGCAATAAAGCCTGTTATGATCCGGAATGATGATGATATTTCAGCATACTAAAAACAACCTTCCCACCAGTGATGATAGAAATAAAGATAAAAAATTTCATCATTCTAAAACAACTTTGCCACCAGTAATAATACATGATGATAATATTTCAGCATTCTAAAAATCTGAAACTTCATCATTATAAAAACGACCCTTCTACCACAAGCAAGGTGGCAGTAGCAATAGTAAAAAAAAAAAAAAGGAACAACACAGACGTATCTTCTTCACTCCGGGAAAGTTAACGGTTTCAAATACTTCCCATAACCACGAAATTCTCGGAACAAGCAAAAACAAGCAAGCACAAACTTTTAAAGAAACAAAAGAGACAATAAGAATGAGAACATTTTTAACACACACAAAAAACAATATTGTAAATAACATTCACGAAAAGAAAAATACACTTTCTTGTCATTAATTTCAACACGTGTCTCCAAAGTCTTATAGTTACTGTTGTACGTTTTATTCATTTCATTTTCAGTATTAAAAAACAGAAAAGAAATCCTCTGTCAACTACTAATGCATATAACACGAGCTAACTTTCATTAACACAACTCAACATTGACCTCGTTTACAAGCCACTAGGATGCAAGACTGTTAGAGAATATGAGAAAAAGGAGAGAGAACAATAAAAGAATTTAAAAGACAGCTACAGAAACTATTCCCAGTTTTGTGTGTGTGTGTGTGTGTGTGTGTGTGTGTGTGTTATTTTTTTATGTACGAACCAGTTAATTCAAATAGTGCAGTTTATAACGAAGACTTTGACGGTTTTAACTTTTGTTTAATTAATTTTTTTGTAATATATTTTCAAAATACTATTATAATCACTAAAGGTCCGTGTCAATATATCTTTTTTGTTAACATCCCTGAAATATATTTAGTAAAGTAGTTTGGAAGTCGTAAACACGTAAATTTTTCAGAGTGGGGTCAACCGTGGATGAGTGAAACTGATATTGTCGATCCGTGGATGGTAATTTTATACTGTATTTATTTATGGAAGCTGAAAACAAAGAGCTGCCATAAACAGAGTTGTCAGTGTTACTTAGGTGTTGCTAAGGTTGCGGATTCGTTGTGTAGAGATAAACCGGTCCATGTGATATGGGCGAGTTCTCTCTCTCTCTCTCTCTCTCTCTCTATATATATATATATATATATATATATATATATATATATATATATATATATATATATTTATTTTATTTGTTGGATAGATGTGAGTTTGTGACCCTGGGTTTCACGCTTTAGCGATCGTCAGACAAACTAATAAGTACCGCGCATATAATATATAAATAATTATACATACTTATACTTATTTATATTTATATACACTTTTCGCACACACACACACTATATATATATATATATATATATATATATATATATATATATATAATCGGGATTTATTTTGTAAAAAATACAAAATTGTGGCACAAGGCCGAAAAGGGGAGGGGGTAGGGCTGGTCTTCACTAACTATCTTATACCTAGCTAATTTGATTCACGACCCATTCAGACATTACAATTTACTCATTCACCATAAGAACTCGTCCGTCATCAATCAATCCTCCTTGCACCATAATACCACATCCACTCTAGGGAGACCTACAAAACGCGCCCCATGTCATAATGATCCTAACACATATGTACAAAATTCTAAGATGAAAAAAATGAGATGGGGGTGGGATGTGAACCCAATAACAAACTAAAATATTAACATAAATGAAAATAAAACGTTAACTGATGTTAGTAGGGCCCTTCCAACCCTCAAAATGCAGGGAGACCACTGTATTCTGCCCATTGGAACAAAATCAAGCAGCTCTCTCGCTAAGGGAGTGGGAAAGGTGATAAAAAATCATACGGGCATGTGGAAGTATAAAGCTGACCCAGTCGAGATAGAAAGTGGGGATCAAAAACAAACTGGGGAGGTTGGGAATCTCAGGCTGGATCATAACTAAAGATGTGGCCGGGGGCAGGCCGGGAACAACACTTACTCGCATTAACTAGGTACACCAAGGCTTGTCTAACCTAACCAAGGGAGGGCACCACAGGAAGCCACCCTGATGTAACGTAGGCTTGACCTAAAACAGAAAAATCAAGGCTAGCCCCGTTCACACGAACCAAGCTCGCCTCAGTCACCCACCTTTCGCTGAAGACTGTCGAATGCAAGCGTTTTCTATCAGTTCTAATCTTCGTCTTGAGCTGATGCTCAAAGAATCGGATCAGATCCTGATGAGAAAGACGGTTACCCCGCAAGACTTCCTCCTCTCGCGTCGTCCATATCACCATTCGGGCCGTGGCTAGCAGCATGAGAAACACCATCCGTTTCACCCCGGAATACGGGGCGACATTGTCACACGCGTATGCACGATCCATGGGCACAAGCTTTTCGGGAGCGAGACGAGCCGTCAGCTCGCCGACATGGTCCCATAAGGGGCGGACACGGGGCAATGGAAGAAGGCGTGCGAAGCCGTTTCCTCTAGACCAAGGCCACACCGATCGCAGTCTGGCAAGTCCGCCAAGCCCCATATGAAGGCCATGTCGTTGAGAGGCAGCCGATTCCGAGCCAGTCGCCAGGTA